CCGCCGGCCCGGCCTCTGAGTCCCCTGCCTGGTCCCTGAGCACATGACTAGCAGGATCCCGGCCCTAAGCATGTGCCACCCTAAGTTTAGACGTGATGGAGGGGCAACTTTGGCCAGAGCGGGGATCCTGGCTAAGGGGTCATGGAGAAGATCTAGGAGGGCAGGCAGATGCACTGACCCCAGCTTCCCTGACCTTGACTTATACCTAAGAAGCCCAGATTTTGCGATCAGCCTCATCTGCCGACCCCCTGCGAACCATCCCCCAGGCTCTGGGGCCCGGGTCTCCTTCCCTGGGACACAGCTGGAGCTCTGAAAAGCTAACCTTGGAGAGTAAACTCCTCCAAGTTGGGTTTGTAATGTCTCTTCCCTGAGGTGTACAGGGAAACCAAGAGAAGAGTTGGTGTGTTTTTTTTTAAGGATTTTTTTGAGAATCCCCCAACCCAAGAGCCAATCATTCATGGTCCATTGAGAGAGCCCCGCCAGATATTAAAGTAGGCGATGGAAGCGCCCACCACACTGCACCAGCCTGGCATCGAGCTTAGAGCTTTTACATAAGGCACGTGCCTGTGGTCCCCAAACAGACCCATCCTCAACCTCCTCCAGACATGGAGGCAGAGAAGGAGACACCTTCCTTCTCTGCATTTTCCAAGTAGACCTTCCTCAGCCACCCGCGTGGTGGGGCCCAGCTTCAGAACCGCACGGAGAGCCTCCCAGAGTCCTCAGGTGGTGACAGGAGCTTCTAGGTCCAGGGTGGAGACCCTTCTTCCCACCCAGGGCCATATGGAAATCTACAACATCCTTCACAGGCCATCCAACATGACCAACCTGAACAGGAGCCTGCTCTATGTGGCCAGACATCTAATTCTTTCACCCCTAATGCCTTGGCAGGGCCGGACGGTTTTGCCGGTTTTAATAGCTCGTGGTGGAGACATTCCCCACCCCTGTTCTAAAGCAAGTTTTGGAAGAAAGCTGTAAAAATATAAACATATATAGTTCTATATATTTAACGAGATACCAATATATAAGCAACATTAATGTACTCTAGGACCCCGTGCAGAGTGTGATTTGTGTGGTTCCCAATGCATGAGTGTACTTATTTGCCACCTGCCTTTCTACTGGTGCTACCGGGGCATAGGGGAGCTGGCTCCTGGCCTCATGCCATCTTTGTGGGTGTGTGGGTGCCCATCTGTCTGCTGAGCAGCCCATGATGTCGATCCTGTGCTGAGATTTTGCACGTGAAGTAGGACAGGCAGGTTCAGGGGGGAGGGCAGCTGTTTGTTCATTACATGGAGGAAAGCAAAATGTCTTTTTTATTTTCAATAAAAACATACTTGTAAAAAAAAAAAAAAGATCAGGCCTAAACCATCAATTGGACATCCCTCTCACAATCCTGGTCCGCTGACTCCTACTCACTCATCTGCCTGCCTGCCTGGTTGCCCCAACTGCCCCCACCCTCACCAGCCTGGTTGCCCCTCATGGCCCCCCTGCCAACCTGGTCTCCCCACACAGCCTGCTTGTTCAGTTGTTTAGTTGTCCTTCACTAACCCCCCTGCTGACCTGACCATAGGCAACCAAGATGTGAGAGCCTGAGGGTCAACTTGCATATTATCCTTTTATATAGGACTAGATACCCAGTGCATGAAAATTCATGCACTGGAGGGGGGTCCTTCAGCCCAGCCTTCTCCCTCTCACAGTCCAGGAGTCTTCAGGGGCGGGAGGCAACCCAGTGATCAGGGAAAGGTGATGCCCCCATCATACCTCTGCTGCTACCACTGCTGGAAGTGCAAGCCTCCGCCAGCTCTGGTTACCTGAGCCTCAGGCGGCCCAGGATGGTTGAGCAGCCAACATCCAAGTCTTGCTTGCACCTACCTCAGCTGGCACCTGCCACCCCAACAGGGCTGCTGTGACTGGTCACTGCCATCTTGTGGCTCTGGGCTCCACCATCTTTGAGGGCATGACAGTTTATTAGCATATTCCCTCCTTATTGGCTGTGGCCATTGCCATCTTTGAGGGTATGACAATCAATTAGCATATTCCCTCCTTGTTGGCTGCAGGTGCTGCCAGATTTGGGTCAATTAACATATTCTCTTTCTATTAGATAGGATTACAGTACTAGAGGCCTGGTGCACAAATTCATGATTGGGTGCGGTCTGGCCAGCAAATCGTGATGGGACTGATTTGGCCAGGCGAGCCAGGGGAAGGGGCCACGGGAGGTTGGCCAGCCAATCCTGCCCCTGATCAAGCCAAGATTCAGAGTGTGAAGAAGCTGGACCCACAGGTTACCAGGCTGTGCACCCTTCCCTGATTCTCAGTTTTGCTCACGTGGATTGAGCCAAAGCCTGCTACCCAAGACTGGCACCACATGGAGAGGGCTATAGTGGGGAGAAAGGTGCCTTGACCTGCCAGCCTTGGTGATGATCATCTCGGTGCCCAACTGATTGAATTTATCCCATAGAACCTTCATCTCAAGCTGCACACTCATGGTGATCACCTTTGTGTTCTGCTTTACTGGTGTCTTGGCGGAGGACATGCAATTGGCCCAGGGCCCTTGGGCTCAGCAGCAGCAGTGCTGATGGCGACCCCTGCAGCCAGCGCATCATGGGGACCAATTGTTCTGGTTGTTCCTCCATAATAGTTGCTGAGCTTTTGTTATATAGACAAAAGGCTTGGTGCAAAAAATTTGTGCCCTGAAGGGTGTGTCCTTCAGCACAGCCTACACCTTTTCCAATCTGGTACCCCAGATTTCCGACTGCCTTTTTAGGCCCAATCCTGCAGTTGAATATCCCTCTCACAATTCATGACTGCTGGTTCCTAATTGCTCACCTGCCTGATTGCCCCTAATCGCTCTGCCTTTCAGGCTGATTACCCCCTAACCATCCCCTGCCAGCCTGATTGATGCCTAACTGCTCTCCTGCCAACCCAGTCACCCCCAACTGCTCTCCCCTGCTGGCCTAGTTGCCCACAATTGCCCTCCTTTGCCAGCTGTCTTGTGACGACATGGGGGCAGTCATCTTGTGATGATGTGAGGGTGGCCATCTCCTGACAACATGGGATTGGCCATCTTGTGGTGGCCATATTGTGATGACACAGGGGTCGCCATCTTGTAATGACAGGAGATGCCACTTAGGCTTTTATTAGTATAGATCAGTAGTTGCCAAACTCACTAGTCAACAGAGCCAAATGTCAATAGTACAACAATTAAAATTCCTTTTGAGGGCCAATTTAAAAAATATATATTCCATTGAGTTTTTACAGAGAGGAAGAGAGAGGGATAGAAAGCTAGAAACATCCATGAGAGAGAAACATTGATCAGCTGCCTCTTGCACACCCTACTGGGGAATCTTTGAGATCCTGAGTAGACGCCCCTAAAAGACGACAAGGTCTCAGCTGGAAGTAGTTACCTAAGATAGACCTCCAGTCCCTAACCCCCTGCCTGGACTCTCACTTTTTCAAATACAATATATCAAAGAATCTGGAATGTGAGATTCTCCCTCCATGAAGCCCCCTGCTTTCCATGGACCCCAATTCTAAAATATTCCTAAGCCTGCCTATATTCTTCTAAAATTCCTGCTTCTTAGAGACTGAGAATATTTTAGTGTTAAAATGATCAAAGCCAGTGTCTGTGGTAGGTAGAATTTACACCCCTCTACCACATAAACCACCCTAAATGTCTATTCCTGACAAAAGGCAAATCCAATTCCTCCCAGGGCACGAAGAGTACCCTCTAAAGGTGAGAGCGTTTCTCTGGAAGAAATCCAGAAAAGAGGAGAGAAGGAATCTAGCTACTCTCAAAAAGCCTGACTGACTGGGCAGGGCCAGTCCCAGCCTATAGTGGGCAGATCCTGTGAACTTTTCCTTTTGAAGGCATCCATTCACCCAAGGAACTAGCAAGGCTAGTCACTTGAATGTGAAGAACTAAGGTCAACTGAAATGGAAGAACTCGAGTCCATCCATGCTCATATGTAGGAGCCCATTCCTACCAGGGGCCTGAGAGTTTTGGCAGAGAGTGAAGGCTGGGTGAAGGCTGAGGATAGAAGAGATTTATTTCCCTTATGGAGTTCAAGATCAAGTCAACCTACAGTCAAGAACTCTGCTCTAAATTACAATAAAATACCACTCAACACTCACCAGGATGGCTATAATATATATTTGTAAAAAGCATTCATGAGAATGTTTAAAAATTGGCTCCCTTGTACATTGCTGGTGGAAAACGTTTTTGGCAGTTCCTTACATGCTAAGCATAGAGTTATCATATGACCCAGAAGGTCCACTTCTAGGTCCATACCCAAAAGACATGGAAACATGTTCACACAAAGTTGAGTACATCATTGGTTGTGGGCACATCCCCGGTGAGGGGTGTGCAAGAGGCAGCTGGTCAATATTTCTCTCTCATCAATGTTTCTAGCTTTCTATCCCTCTCTCTTCCTCTCTGTTAAAAAAAAAAAATCAATAAAATATATTTAAAAAAACCAAAACTGTGTACACAATGTTCATAGCAGTGTTATTCATAAGAGACTCAAACTGGAAACAATACAAAATTCATCCATCAACTGATGAATGGGTAAACAAAAGTGGTATGCCCATACACTATGTTCTAGTGTATGGGCATACCACCTTTCGTTTACATATATATATACATAAGATATAACATACATAAAACTTGAAAATGTTATGCTAAGTGAAAGAAGCCAGTCACAAAAGACCAGATATTATGATTGCATTTACAAGAAATGTCCCCATAGGCATACCCTGGAGGCATAACCTTACAGAAAGCAGATTAGTGACTGCCTGGGGTTAGGGTGGGAGGACAGGGAGGGGGCACTGGGAAAGGGTGGCAACTGTTAATTGGTTGTGGGTTTCTTGGGAAGTGTTGCTGCTTAAGTCCTACAATTGGATTCTCTGAGGGGGCGTGGCTGGAATCTTGGGCTGGACAGTGCCAGTATAAAGCCAGGCTGCTGCAGTTCAGGATACCTTTGGCTGTTATTCTGTTACTGGACCAGATGGAGCAGAGCCCTTTCCTAAGCGAGGTGTGCTCTTCGTTGGGAAGCAAGTGTCATCAGCCTCGCCAAGGTCCAGGTGAGATGACAGCGGCCAGCAACATGCAGCCCCCGGCCCCGTCCCCGACCCCCGACCCTGTCCAGGCAGAGGAGCTGGTCAAGGCAGCCGAGGCCACCCAATCCTGTGCTGGGAGTGGAGGGATCGCGAGCCCCATGCAGCCCTCGTTGCCTCCACGCTGCTCGCTGCAGGACCTGCCTCCAGAGATGCTGTTGGAGATCTTCGCCTTCCTTCCCTGCACGGACCTGGCCAGCCTGGCCCAGGTTTGCACCCAATTCCGCAGCATCCTGCACACCGACAGCATCTGGAGACAGCGCTGCAGGGAGGAGTATGGCGTTTGTGAAAACTTTCAGGACTTGGAGGCCATGGGTATGTCTTGCCGAGAATTCTATACGAAGTTGCTCCACCCATACAGAAACATTTTGGGATTGTGGCTGCTCGATGTCCGGAGAGACCTGCTGAAGGTAGCGGTGGACGGCTTCTGCATTACTGGTTGGAGGTACATGCCTCCTTACTATTACCTCTATGTGGATGTCCCAAAGCCATGGAAGCCCTCGTTTAGAATTCGCCTGACGAGGAAATCTGCCCAGGTGGAATGCATGGAAGACTATTGCAGGGTCCATGACGGGCACTACAGAAGGCCCCACATATGCCACCTGAAGATTCAGAAGGATTGGTTCACCATCACAGATGAGATTATCCAAAAGTATTTCCCAAAGTCTGTGAGTTACCGTAATCCTGACTGCCTAACCTACAGCCGCGTCTACCTCCCACCCAGCCACCCTGATGACCTCATCAGGCCAGGCATCTTCCAATGCAACTATAATGCCTACAGTCTAAAGATTGCCCTGCTCAGCTTCCATGGGAACTATGCCAGGGCCACAAATTTCGCGGGAGACCCCCTCAATTCTGCCTGGAAGGAGACTTTAAAGATCCACCTCCTGCACCGCATCCAGGTGCTAAATGTGGAGATCCTCCGCAACCTCGACATGCTCTCCTGCATCGTCCAGGAGATTCACGAGCAGGTGATCCAGGAGCAGCTTGAGGACAGCGAGGGCCATAGCAGGCAGAGCCCTGCCCAGCCAAGCGCCAGGGAGTCCAGGGCTGCAACTTTGGAGGAGCAGCCTGCCCACAGCTTTGTTCTGCCTGTGGGTGTGGACTCAATAGACCAAAACTACCCCCGAACCTACAGGATGTGTTTCTATGGCGAAGACATTGTTTACTATCCTGACTCCTTCCACCCTCAGCGTTTCCTTGGAATCTTCATCCTGTTTGATGAGAACCAATTCGGGTTCCTCTGTGTGGAGCGGAGATGCTTCACCCTATACAGCAGAATCCGGGACACCATCAAGAATGTGGAGGCACCTTCCCCACAGGCCTTCCTGGAGATGCTCAGAAACATTGAGGCCCTACCCCCGGGAGCGGAAGTATGATTTTCACTTTAAAGAATTAACCTGACCAGATTACATTATCCACTATCTTGTGGATTTTTTTTTTCTTCCCCATTTTTTCCCCCTCCCTCCTTCCTTTTTTTCCCCTCCCTCCCTCTTTCCTCCTCTTTTTTTTTGTTGTTTTTTATGTTTTTTATTTTTATTTTTTATTTATTTTTTTTATCCTCACCTGAGGATATTTTTCTCATTGAATTTTAGAGAGTGCAAGAGAGAGGAAAACACATATATATCCATGTGAGAGAAACACATCAATTGGTTGCCTCTGGACCAGGGCCACACTGGGTAGGAGCCAGCAAGTGAGGTAGAACCTAACCTTAGTCCTTTCAATCTGCAGATCCAGGCTCTGTGCACTGAGCCAAACCAGCTAGGGCTGAGCATGTCTTTGAAAAAATCCTAAAATTAGATAGTGGTAATTGTTATGTTTTACATGACTCTGAATATAATAAAACCATTGAAGTGTACATTTTCAAATGGATTTTATAGTATGTGAATTGTATCTCAATAAAGCTGTTATTAAATATAAATGTCTGGTCCAAATTTCTTTTTAAAACAAATATTTTATTTTTTACAGAGAAGAAGGGAGAGGGATAGAGTTAGAAACAGTGATTAAGTGCCTCCTGGACTGCCCCTGGATGTGCCCACAAGCAAGATACATGCTCTTTGACTGGAATCAAACCTGGAACCCTTCAGTCTGCTGGCCAATGCTCTACTGAGCCAGATTGGTTAGGGCTGCTCCAACTTTCTTAAGCCTTCCTCTGAGATAACTGCAAGCCACACTGCACTTGGGGGGGGCCTGCCTCCCCACTTTCTCTCTCTCATTCTTTAATTCCACATCTTATTTACTCCTTATCTGTTTGTTTTTCTTAAGGTTCCATCTTAGACCCATATATAGTGCTTTTGCTTCATAAAGGCAGGCTCCCACCTTTACAACTAACTAGTTCTGTGATATTGAGAAAGTGACCTAACTTCTTGACCTCAATTTCTTCCCATTTGGAAATTGGGGATAGTAATTGTACCTCTTCATAGGTCAATTGTGAAGACAAAAATGACATTATTAAGCCTGCTTAGAATGGTACCTAGTATAGTACATGTATAGTAAAATCTGTATTAGTATTTGTGATAATTGCATATTAAAAACTTAGAAGAGTATTTGGCATATAATAAGTGTTCTATAAGTATTCCATATTTTTATTTATATATTATTATTTGTCCAAGACATGATCTGTTCTGCTGTTGAAGGTTTAGACTTTCCAATTTGGGATTATTCTATTAAATAATAATGCCAGCAGTATTGGAGAACAGAAGGTCATCCACAAAAATCTGCTCTGCAGCCACCTATAAGCCAGCTGCTTATTTGTGGGAAGACAAAGGTTACATGGGGATGTAGGGATTACAGGCATGGAGAAGTAGGAGGAAGGGTGGGATTCCATTGTTTGGGCAACAGCTTTGTTAATCTTTCCACGAAAATAGGCTCTTTTTTTCTTTTTTCTTTATTGATTAAGGAATTACATATGTGTCCTTATTGCCCCCCTCACACCTCTACTCATGCCCTGATACCCCTGTTGTGTCCATTGATTTGGCTTATATGCATGCATACAAGTCATTTGGTTGATATCTCCTATACCCCCACCCTCTCCTACCTTCTTTCTGAGGTTTGATGGTCTGAACAATGCTTCTCTGTCTCTGGGTCTGTTTTGTTCATCAGGTTTTGTTGCTCCTTACATTCCACAAATGAGTGAGATCACGTGATATTTATCTTTCTCTGACTAGCTGATTTACATTAGCATAATGCTCTCCAGTTTTATCCACAATGTTGCCAATGGTCTGAATTCTTTCATTTTTAGTATTCCAGTGTGGAGAGGCATCTCTTTTTTTAATCCACTCATCTGTTGATTGGCACTTAGGCTCTTTCCAAATCTTAATTTTGGTGAATTGTGCCGCTATGAACATAGGGGTGCATATATTCTTTCTGACTGGTGTTTCTAGTTTCTTGGGATATATTAGGTGAGGATGTAGAGAATAAGGAACCCTGGTACACTGCTGGTGGGAATGCAGACTGGTACAGCCACTGTGGAGAACGGAATGGAGTTTCCTCAAAAACTGAAAATGGAACTCCCATTTGATCCAGTGATTCCATTTCTAGGAATATATCCCAAGAGGCTGTTCTTGAATGAGAATGGACCACATTCCAAGGTTGATTCCCTGGTCCAAGATTGACTCCCAGGTCCCAGGGGCATACAACTCCTAGCCAGGTCAGAATGGTCCTTTCTTTAACCAACACAAGGCAATCATGGTTAACAGAGCACAGTTAATATTTCCAATAAACATAACTAATCCCCAATATATTTTTTGGCCTTTAACCATAGCAGCAGCCTCTATCTCTCTTTGATCTATTGACTTGTCTTTGTCCTTCCTACACAGATTTCTTCCTAGGGCAGTGATATCTCTGATTTTCTCAATCCTGGAAGAGAAAAAATGATGGAACCTCTTCACTAGCTGATCAAGCCCTTCTAGAGTCATAGAATATCTCTACTCACATTCCTAGGTTCTTCACCCACCAGAGACACAAGTACCTTGGAGAACATCCCTCAAAATCTCATCAATACAGGCTTCTAAAAGAGTCTTTACATCCATTACCCAGTTACGTACCAATAATAATATAGGTTTTTCTTCAGAGGAAGTGAAACTGAATTTTGGACTAGAACACGAATTCTTTGCTGGGAACTAAGAATGAACCCAATGGTATAGCAAAGGTGGAGATTTATTGAAGAACAAGTACAGACTCCAACGTGGGGAGGGGGAAGAGTCCCACAATGGACTCCCACATGGGGAGTGGGAGAAGGGTCCCTCTGAGTCCCTCTTCCCTACAGTTTATAAAGGCTGCAAATCCTGGTGCCTTGATATCCCCTCAGATTGGTCACTATTCCTCTTTAAGATGGTTACTATAGTAACTCCTGGGCTCCAAGGTGAAACCTCACATGGGACATGGGAGGTTCTTCCCCACTCCTTTTTTCTGAATAAAGGGCTTCTTTCTCTTTATTTTCTAATTGTGACCTGTTTTTTTGGCTACTTCCAGTTCTCTCATCTTCTGTAAATATACCTGTTGTTGCTTCCTTGTCTTATGTAAATATAAAATATAATATCCTGGCTTCCTTGTGATATAAAGATGTAACTGTACCTGGCTTTCAGGTTATGAAAATGTCTCCCAGTCTGCAGCCCTGTGTTTCCCAAGGACCCCAATTCTCAAAAATCCCTAAGCCTGCTTATGTTCTCATAAAATTCCTTCTACTTAGAGACTGAGAATATTTTAGTGTTAAAATGATCAAAGTCAGTGTCTGTGGTAGGTGGAATTTACACCCCTCTACCACATAAACCACCCTAAATGTCTATTCCTGACAAAAGGCAAATCAAATTCCTCCCAGGGCACGAAGAGGACCCTCTAAAGGTGAGAGCGTTTCTCTGGTAGGAATCCAGAAAAGAGGAGAGAAGGAATCTAGCTGCTCTCAGAAAGCCTGTCTGACTGGGCAGGGCCATCCCATCCCATAGGAATATTATGTTCATAGTGGACAGATCCTGTGAACTTTTCTTTTTGAAGGCATCCATTCACCCAAGGAACTAGCAAGGCTAGTCACTTGAAAGTGAAGAACTGAGGTCAACTGGAAGGGAAGAACTTGAGTCCATCCTTGCTCATATGTAGGAGCGCATTCCTACCAGGGGCCTGAGAATTTTGGCAGAGGGTGAAGGCTGGGTGAAGGCTGAGGATAGAAGAGATTTACTTCCCTTATGGAGTTCAAGGTCAAGTCAACCTATAGTCAAGAACTCTGCTCTAAATTACAATAAAATACAACTCAACACTCATGAGGATGGCTATAATATATACTTGTAAAAAACATTCATAAGAATGTTTAAAAATTGGCTCCCACCTTCATTGCTGGTGGTAATGTAAAATAAGGGGGCCACTTCGGAAAAGGTTTTTGGCTGTTCCTCCACATGCTAAGCATAGAGTTATAATGTTAACCAGAAGGTTCATTTCTAGGTCCATACCCAAAAGAAATGAAAACATGTTCACACAAAAACGTGTACACAATGTTCATAGCAGTGTTATTCATAAAAGTCTCAGACTGGAAACAACCCAAAATTCATCGATCAACTGATGAATGTGTAAACAAAAGGTGGTATGTCCATACACTAGAACAGTGTTTTTCAACCTTTTTTGGGCAAAGGCACACTTGTTTCATGAAAAAAATCACGAGGCACACCACCATTAGAAAATGTTAAAAAATTTAACTCTGTGCCTATATTGACTATATATAAAGTAATTCTCTTGAATAGGAATCAAATAAACACAAAGAAAGTATTTTATAATTACTTTATTATGAAATATTAAGTAAACAAAATAGTGAAAAATTATAAAATTCTTGTCTTGTCTGCACCTACGGCACACCAGGCAACATCTCCTGCGGAACAGCGGTTGAAAAACGCTGCACTAGAATATAACATATACAAAACTTTAAAATATGCTAAGTGAAAGAAGCCAGTCACAAAAGCTGAAACTGGTTTGGCTCAGTGGATAGAGCATGGGTCGGTGGACTGAAGGGTTCCAGGTTAGATTCCTGTCAAGGGCATGTGCATTGCTTGAGGGCACATTCCAGGTAGGGGTAGTGCTAGAGCCAGCTGGTGGATGTTTCTCTCTGATGGATGTTTCTGGCTCTCTATCCCTCTTTATTTCTCTGCCTAAAAAAAGGAAAAAGAAATCAATAAAACATATTAAAAAAAAAAAAGACCAGTTATTATCACTACTTTTATGGGAAATGCTCCCTATAGGCATATCCCTGGAGGCATAACCTTACAGAAAGCAGATTAGTAACTGCCCTACAGAACACAGATTAGTGACTGCCTGGGGCTAGGGTGGGAGGACAGGGATGGGGCACTGTTAAAGGGAGGGACTGTTAATGGGTGTGGGTTTCTTTGGGAAGTGTTGCTAAAGTCTTACAATTGGCTTCTCTGAGGGGCAAGGCTAGGCCCTGGGGGGGGGGGGGGGGGCGTGGCTGGACTCTTGGGCGGGATTGTGCCAGTATAAAGCCAAGCTGCTGCTTTTTAGAATACCATGATCCCTTTGGCTGTACAGGACTAGATAGAGTAGAAAGCTTTCCTCAGCGACAAGTGCTCCACGGTGGGATGCTGGTGTCGTCATCTGTGCCAGGGTCCAGGTGAGACAGCAGAGGCTGACAGCATGCAGCCCCTAGACCCCACTTTAGCCCCCACCCAGGCCCCTGTCCAGGCAGAGGAGCAGATGGAGGCGGCTGAGTCCTCGCTGTGCTGTGCTGGGAGTGGAGGGATCCAGATCCCGATGCCGTCCTCTTGACCCCCACGCTGCTCGCTGCAGGACCTGCCTCCAGAGCTGCTGGTGGAAATCTTCGCCTCGCTCCCAGGCACAGACCTGGCCAGCCTGGCCCAGGCTTGCACCCAATTCCGCAGCATCCTGCACACCGACAGCATCTGGAGAAGGCGCTGCAGGGAGGAGTATGGCGTTTGTGAAAACGTTCAGGACTTGGAGGCCATGGGTATGTCTTGCCGAGAATTCTATACAAAGCTGCTCCACCCATACAGAAAGATTTTGGGATTGTGGCGAGTCGATGCAGATGCCCGTAGTAGAGAGGTACTGAAGGTAGCGATGGACGGATTATGCATTACTGGTAAGAGGTTCGTGCCTCCTTTCTGTTACCTCAATGTGGATGCCTCAAAGCCATGGATGCTCTTGTTTAGAATTCGCCTGAAGAGGAAATCAGCCAATGTGGAGTGCATGAAACACTACACTAGGCCCCACATTTGCCGCCTGAAGATTCAGAAGAAGGGGTTCACCACCAAGAGTAACCACAGGATGTCCGGGTGTATCCAAAAGCATTTACCACAATGGGTGAATGAAGAACGGGGTTCTCTGCTGCTACAGGACACACACGTGTTAATGTACTGTAATCCTGACTGCCTGACTTACCCCATCTGCCGCCGCAGCAGACTCTACTTCCCACGGAGCTATCAAGATGACCTTATCAGGCCAGGAATCTTTGTAGACGTCTATGATGTCTACAGCCTGAAGCTTGCCTTCCTCATCTTCTATGGGAATTACGCCAGGGCCACAAATATCAGGCGAGACCCCATCTTACCTTTCTGAGTCCCTCTTTCCTACAGCTTATAAAGGCTGGAAATCCTGGTGCCTTGATATGCCCTCAGATTGGTCACTATTCCCCTTTGAGTTGGTTACTATAGTAACTCCTGGGCTGTTACTATAGAAACTCCCCCACTGTTTCCTCCTAAATGATGGGCTTCTTTCTCTTTATTTTGTAAATGTGATCTTTTTTTTTTAGCTACTTCCAGTTCCCTCATCTTCTGTAAATATACCTGTTGCTGCCTCCTTGTCTTATGGAAATATAAAATATAATATCCTGGCTTCCTTGTGATATGGAGATGTGACTGTACCTGGCTTTCCTTTTATGAAAATGTACTTTCTCCCAGTCTGAAGCCCTGTGCTTTTCATTGACTCCAATTCTAAAAAATCCCTAAGGCTACCTATGTTCTCCTAAAATTCCTGCTTCTTAGAAACTGAGAATATTTTAGTGTCTGTGGTAGGTGGAATTTACACCCCTCTATCAAATAACCCCCCCTAAATGTCTATTCCTGACAAAAGGCAAATCAAATTCCTCCCAGGGCACGAAGAGGAGCTTCTAAAAGTGAGAGTGTTTTTCCAGTAGGAAGCCAGAAAAGAGAAAAGGAATCCAGCTGCTCTCAAAAAGCCTGTCTGATTGGGCAGGGCCAGTCCCAGCCCATAATAATATGTTCATAGTGGGCAGATCCTGTGAACTTTTCTTTTTGAAGTCTTCCTTTCACCCAAGGAACTAGCAAGGCTAGTCACTTGAATGTGAAGAACTGAGGTCAACTGAAAGCAAAGAGACCATCCTTGCTCATATGTAGCAGCCCATTCCTACCAGGGACCTGAGAGATTTGGCAGAGGCTGGGTTAAGGCTGAGAATAGAAGAGATTTATTTCCCTTATGGAGTTCAAAGTCTAGTCAACCTACAGTCAAGGACTCTGCTCTAAATTACAATAAAATACCACTCAATACTCATGAGGATGGCTATAATATATATTTGTAAAAAACATTCATGAGAATGTTTAAAAATTGGCTCCCTCCTTCATTGCTGGTGGAAATTTAAAATAAGGGGTCCACTTTGGAAAAGGTTTTTGGCTGTTCCTCCACATGCTAAGCATAGAGTTATGTTAACCAGAAGGTCCATTTCTAGGTCCATACCCAAAAGAAATGGAAACACGTTCACACAAAAACGTGTACACAATGTTCATAGCAGTGTTATTCATAAGATCCTCAAAGTGGAAACAACCCAAATTTTATCCATCAACTGATGAATGTGTAAACAAAAGGTGGTATGCCCATACACTAGAATATAACATACATCAAATTTGAAGTTGTTATGTTAAGTGAAAGAAGCCAGTCACAAAAGCTGAAAGTGGTTTGGCTTGGTGGATCGAGCATGGGTCTGTGGACTGAAGGTTCCCAGGGTCGATTCCGGTCAAGGGCATGTACATTGCTTGGAGGCATATCCCTGGAGGGAGGGTGTGGGAGGCAGCTGGTGAATGTTTCTCTCTGATGGATGTTTCTGGCTCTCTATCCCTCTTTCTTCCTCTCCGTAAAAAAAAAAAAAAAAAAAAAAAAAAAAAATCAATAAAACATATTTTTAAAAAAAGCCAAGACCGGTTTGCTTCAATGGATAGAGCGTTGGCTTGGGGACTGAAGGGACCTGGGTTCGATTCCGGTCAAGGACATGTACCTTGGTTGTGGGCATATTCCCTGTAGGGGGTGTGCAAGAGGCAGCTGATCAATGACTCTCTCTCATCGATGTTTCTAGCTCTCTATCCCTTCCTCTCTGTACAAAATCAATAGAATATATTAAAAAAAAAGACCAAATATTATGACAGTATTTATATGAAAGGTCCCCGATAGGCATTTCCCTGAAGGTATATCCTCACAGAAAGCAGATTAGTGACTGCCTGGGGCTAGGGTAGGAGGACTTGGAGGGGACATTGATAAAGGGAGGCGACTGACAGTTAATAAGTGTGGGTTTTTTTTGAAAGTGATGTTGCTGAAGCCTGTTTGGCTCAGTGGTAGCTGGTCGATGTTTCTCTCTCATCGACATTTTTATCTCTGTATCTCTCTCCCTTCCTCTCTGTAAAAAATCAATAAAATATATATACTTTAAAAAAAAAAGAGAAAGTGTTGCTAAAGTCCTACAATTGGCTTCTCTCTGTGGGGGCTTGGGTAAGCCATGGGGGGAGTGGCTAGACTCTTGGCCAGGACTGTGCCAGTTTAAATAAAGCCAGTCTGCAGCTTTTGAGGATACCAGGATACCCTTGGCTGTTACAGGATGAGATGGAGCAGAACGCTTTCCTCAGCTGTGTGTGCTCTTGGGGATGCTGGTGTAGTCAGCCACGCCAAAGTACAGGTGAGAAGTCAGCGCCAACAGCATGCATCCCTAGGCCTCAGCCTTAGCCCAGCCCTTGTCCAGGCAGAGGAGCAGGTGGAGGAGGCCACAGCCACCCTGTGCCGTGCAAGGAGTGGAGGGATCGCGAGCCCCATGCAGCCCTCATCGCCCCCACGCTGCTCGTTGCAGGACCTGCCTCCAGAGCTGCTGTTGGAGATCTTCGCCTCCCTCCCCTGCACTGACCTGGCCAGCCTGGCCTAGGCTTGCACCCAATTCCGCAGCATCCTGTACACTGACAGCATCTGGAGAAGGCACTGCAGGGATGAGTATGGCGTTTGTGAAAACTTTCAGGACCTGGAGGCCATAGGTATGTCTTGCTGAGAATTCTAAACAAAGCTTCTCTACCCATACAGAAAGATTTTGGGATTGTGGCGGCTCGACGCCCGTAGTAGAGACCTGCTGAAGGTAGCGGTGGACGGCTTATGCATTACTGTTTGGAGGTTGGTGCCTCCTCCTTGTTACCTCAATGTGGATGCGTCAATGCAATGGAAGCCCTCGTTTAGAATTCGCCTGACGAGAAAATCAGCCAAGGTGGAGTGTGTGGAAGACTACACTAGGCCCCACATATGTCACCTGAAGATTCAGAAGGATTATTTCACCATGAAGTATGCGTTTATCCTAACTTATTTCCCCAAATGGTGAGTTACTATAATCCTGACTGCCTGACCTACAGCCGCGTCTACCTCCCACTGAGTTACCCTGATGACCTCATCAGGCCAGGCATCTTCCAAGGCATCTATGATGCCTACAGTGTAAAGATTGTCCTGCTCAGCTTCCTTGGGAACTATGCCAGGGCCTCGAGGATCCCAAGATACCCCATCATCCCTGCCTGGAAGGAGACATTAGAGATCCACCTCCTGCACCGCATCCAACTGCCAAATATGGAGATCCTCCTTGACTTCCACGTGCTCTCCGGCATCGTCCAGGAGATTCAGGAGCAGGTGATGCAGGAGCAGCAGGAGGAAGAAGGCGGGCCTGAGGACAGCGAGGGCCATGGCTGGCAGAGCCCTGCCCAGCCCAGCGTCAGGGAGTCCAGGGCTGCAGCTTTGGAGGAGCAGCCTGCCCACAGCTTTGTTCTGCCTGCGGGTGTGGACTCAATAGACCAGAACTACCCTCGAACCTACAGGATGTATTTCTATGGTGTGGACATTGTTCCCTTCTATGACCCCATCCACCCCCAGCGCTTCTCTGGAATCTTCATCCTTTTCGATGAGGACCACTTCGGTTTCCTCTGTGTGGAGCGGAGATGCTTCACCTTGTACAGCAGAATGCAGGAGACCTTCAAGAATGTGGAGGCACCTTCCCCACAGGCCTTCCTGGAGATGCTCAAGAACATTGAGGCCCTACCCCTGAGAGGAGCAGTTTGATTTTCAATTTAAAGATTTAACCTGACTAGATTAGATTACCTACTTTCCTGTGTTTTTTGTCTTCTTCTTTTTTTTGTTGTCTTCTTTTCCTCCCTCTCTCTCTCTCCCTTTCTTCTTTCTTCCTACCCTCTTTTTTTTTTTTTTTTTTTTTTTTTTTTTTTTTTTTTTTTAATCCTCATCCAGGGATATTTTTCCCATTTAATTTTAGAGAGAGTGGAAGAGAGGGAAACACAGAAATATCGACATGAGAGAAACACATCAATTGGTTGCCTCTGGACCAGCGCCAGGCTGGGTAGGAGCCAGTATGTGAGGTAGAACCAAACCTTAGTCCTTTTAATCTGCAGATCCAGGCTCTATCCATTGAGCCAAACCAGCTAGGGCTGAACATGTCTTTTTAAAGAAAAAAAGAAAAAATCCTAAAATGAAATAGTGGTAATTGTTATATTTTATACAACTCTGAATATAATAAAAACCGTTGAATTGTACATTTTCAAATGGATTTTATAGTATGTGAATTCTATCTCAATAAAGCTGTTATTAAATATAAATGTCTGCTCCAAGTTTCTTTTTAAAATAAATATTTTATTTTTTACAGTTATGAAGGGAGAGGGATACAATTAGAAACATTGATTAACTCCCTCCTGCACCGCACCTGGATGTACCCACTTCGAAGATACATGCTCTTTGACCGGAATTGAACCTGGAACCCATCAGTCTGCAGGCCAATGCTCTATCTACTGAGCCAAATCGGGTAGGGTTGCTCCAATTTCTTAAGCCTCTCTCTGAGATAAATGGACTTTTGTGTGCCTGCCTCCCCTGCTTCTATCTCTCATTCTTTAGTTCCATAGCCTTATTAACTCCTTATCTGTTTTTTTAAAATAAATCTTTATTGTTCATATTATTACAAATGTTCCTCATTTTTTCCCCCCTCCATTGCTCCCCTCTACCAGGTTCCCACCCCACCCTCTGCCCTTTCCCCAGCCCCCATTGTCCTCATCCATAGGTGCAGAGTTTATGTTCAGTCTCTTCCCACACCCCTACTCCTGATTCCCCCGAGAATCATCAGTTCATTCCCCTTCCATACCTCTGATTCTATTATATTCACCAGTTAATATTGTTCATCAGATTTTTTAATTCCTTTGGTTTTTAGATTCACTTGTTGATAGTTATGTATTTGTTGTTCATAAGTTTTATCTTTATTTTCTTCCTCTTCCTAAAGAACCCCCTTCAGCAATTCATGTAATTCTGATTTGGCAGTGATGAACTCCTTTAGTTTTTTCTTATTTGTGAAGCTCTTTATCTGGACTTTGATTCTGAGTGATAGCTTTATTTGGTAGAGTATTTTTGACTGTAGGTTCTTGCTATTCATCACTTTGAATATTTCTTGCCATTCCAGTCTGGCCTGCATGATTTCTGTTGAGAAATCAGCTGACAATTGTATGGGTGCTCCTTTATAGATAACTACCTGCTTTGCTCTTGCTGCTTTTAATATTCTCTCTTTGTCTTTTTCTCTTAGAATTTTAATTATGATGTGTCTTGCTGTGGTCCTCTTTGGATTCCTTTTGTATGGGGTTCTGTGCTCTTCCTGGACTTGTAAGTCTGTTTCTTTCCCCAGGTGGGGGAAGTTTTCTGTCACTATTTTTTCCAATATGTTTTTGGTATCTTGCTCTTTCTCATCTTCTGGGACCCCCATAATTCTGATGTTGGTTCTCTTGAAGTTGTCCCAGAGGTTTCTTATATTATCTTCAACTTTCTGGATTCTCTTGTCTTCTTCCTTCTGCAGAGGAGTGTCCCCTGGCTCTTTATGTTCCAAATCTTTGACTTGATTCTTGCTATCTTCCATTCTGTTTTTAGGACTCTGTATAATATTTTTTATTTCAGACAATGTATTCTTCATTTTTAGTTGAGTCCTTTTCACATCCTCATAGGTGTCGTTTATTTTATTGGCCTTTTCTACGAAATTCTTGAAAAATTTTATAAGCGTGGTTTTGAACTCTATATCCAGTCGCTTGTCTTCCATTTCTTTCATTTGTAATCTGTTTCCTTGTCTCGGCACTTTCGCTGCTTCCCTGAGTTGGTAGGGTGTCTTTATGTGCTAAGATGTTGGCTGTGAGGATCAGCTGTGTCTATGCTGGGAGACAGCCTTATTCAACTAGACTTGAAAAATTGCAAAGGCCTCTATGCTCAGCTTGGATGGGCCAGAGTTTCAGGGTGGAGCCTACAGTCTTGGCTTCCCATCAGTCCAGCCCTATGAGGTTCCTGAGTCTCAGTGTTCCTCATTGTCCTTTGGTATTCACTGCAAGCACCTCTGAGAGAAAGGTACCCTCAAGTTTTGCCCACTACCAGACAGTCTAGTCTCTCCCTCAATGAACCCGGAATTGGGGTTCAGTGCAGTTGGAAGTGGGGTTGGAATTGGGGTAAGAGCTGTCCGCAGCTTTTGTCTCTTTCCCGCTAGGGCAATCCAGTGGCATAGTCAACAGTTCGTCCTCTGCACACATCGCGAGTGCCTTCGGAGCTCTGACTTTCACTGCTCCCCTGAGTTTCCGCCTTACACCCCAGATTTCCTCTGTATGAGTCTGAGCCCAGAATTGGGGCTCAGCACTGTCTGGAGCTTTTGTCTCCTTCCAGCTAGGGCAATCTAGCAGCACAGTCAACAGTCCATCCTCTGTGCTCACCGTGTGCACCTTTGAGACTCTGCCTTTCGCTGCTCCCCTGAATTTCTGCCTAATAGCCTAGATTCCCTCTGTATAAGGCTGGGTCCCTAGGGTCTCGCTCAGAACTGGGGTTCAGTGCAGTCAGAACTTGGGTTCAGTGCAGTCCGGAGCTTTTATCTCCTTCCCGCTAGGGAACGCCAGTCAGGCACTCAGCTGCCCCCTCCTCTCCAGCTCTGTCCTCTTCCCACATGTGTACCATGTCTCCATACCTTAGGCTTTTACAGCTCCTCTGATTTTTCTTCTGGTTTTCTCTTTCCTTCTAGTTGTAGAATTTCCAGTCAGTCAACTTTCCTATAGTTCTGGATGTCCACTTTGTATTTTAGTTGTATTTTTTGAAATTGTTGTGCGAGGCTGCAGTTAGGCGTTTACCTATGCCAACATCTTGATTTCTCCTCTACAGCAAGTATCTTTTGATGAATAGAACATTTTAAATTCCTAAGTAAGCAGATTTATGAATCATTTCTATTATGATTAAGTGCTCTTTGTTTCTTGATTAAGAAATTCTTTCCTATTCCAAGGTCTTGACTATGCTTTCCTATTGTAAACATTTTATAGTTTTTCCTTTTATATTTAGGTCAATTTCACTTGGAATTGACTATTGTGTATGATATGAGATAGGTGTGCAATTTTAATTTTCCTACATAGATGCTTGATTTTATCAGCACCATTCATGAACAAGATTGTTCTTTTCTTACTGATTTGCAGGCCACCTCTGTTGTGTAGCAAGTGTCCATATGTGTAGATCTGTTTGGGGCCTCTTCATTCTATTCCTCTTACAGCAACTCTTATCTTACCTTTATTTATTCAATAATGTGTTTTGTCTTGGCCCTTTACTTTGAAAATCAGTAAAAAATTGTAACTAAATAAATAAAACACTTTTCTGAATTAGTATACATCTCAGGATCTAATTGAAGGATAGTGGGTAGGGACTCTTTTCTTTTTCACCTGGAAGTGAAGGAAGAAGAATGTAGATTTAGTTGCTTTTGAAAGTTGCCTTATTCTGGGGACATCAGTATAAGTTTGAAAACAGAAGTCAGAGAAGGACAGAGCCCCAGGAATCACTAAGGACAGAGTCAGACCATGTCTTTTGAGTTCCTTTTATCTCTGAGTGCTGCAGCTCTGTCAATTTGACTTGGAATTTCTGTTACTTGCAACCAAAAGCATCCTTAAATACAGACTCAAATGAACAAGCAAGTAAAAAGGCCTCTTCATGAAAAGGAAAACAGTTGTCCTCAAAACTATAAATTTAATTTTATAGGAAGGCAATATGTAATAATAATGATAATGAAGATGGTTGAGGCTAACATTTACTAAGCCATGCACTGTGCTAAGCAATGTACAGATAATATATCATTATATTTATTATCTTACCCAATGGTAGTGACCTCCCAATATTGTTTTTTTTTCCAGACCCAGAGATGTTAAGTAACTCACAATGTCACACAGCTAACAGGGTTCAGATATACTAGTAGGTCTGTGATTCCACCACATGTCAATTTTTTTTAACATAATATTCTTTATTAAATAGGGAAAATTAAATGCTTTCAAAAGGGTAAGAGTAAGGTTTTGGGAAAAGGAATCCTATTTCACTACTGGTAGGAACATAAATGAATATAAGCTTTCTAGCAGTTTGGCGTATGTAATAAAATGTTTATATTCTGAAAATATACTATTTTAACGACTAACTCTACTTTTGAAAAAAATGAATAGTACCCCAAAATATTTTCAAGGACATTTATAGTAGCAAATTTTTTAGTAGCAAAAATAGAGTTTTGATTAAATATATGTTAGGAACTAAAATACTAATGCAACTATTAGAATAATATTTTAGAATTTTTAATGACAAAGAAAAATATACGATTTAAGTGAAAAAAGCAGATACAAAACAATAATGACAGCAGGACTTCTTTTACGTATTTAAAAGGCTAGACAGATGTAGTGTAAAATGATAATGATTATCTCTGCAGGGTGGGTTTATGGATAATTTACATTTTTTTTCTTTACTTTTCTGAAATCTTGAAGTTTTAATCATGAATTTGCAGAATACTTTATTTATGGAAATTTCAAACATATTCTAAAGCAGAGAGAATAGAAAAACCTGAATGAATTCATCACCAGTTTTAACAATTTTCAACTCTGAGCCAGTCTTGTCCATCTTACCCTCTCTTACTCTCTCTGTCGGATTATTTTGAAACAAATCTCAAACATCATATTTCATATTGCATGTGTCTCTAGAAAATAAAAACTTCTTTTAAAAAACCACAGTACTGTTATCACACCGAAATTTAAAAATAATTCCTTAAAATCATAATA